GTTACTTGAAAGTCGTTTCTCATAGCAAATGGGGAGGGGTTCAGACAACCCTCCTTCATTTATATCGTTCTCTTATCCGTTCAAAACTAAATTATGGCTCCATCGTTTATGGCGGATCCTGTTAAAGCAATCTACAATAATTAGATTCAGTGTATCATCAAAGGCTGAGACTTTGTCTTTGAGCCTTTAGAACATCACCAGTTGACAGCTTATATTATATGTAGAGGCTGAAGAGCCATCTCTCAAACAACGTCGAATTAAACTGTCATTGCAATATGTGACTAAATTACACTCAAATCCGTGTGTTTAATCCCATGTATGAACATTATTTTAATCAAAACCAAAAATTGGTTTTACAAAAACACCCTAGTTAGTCTTGCAGTCTTGCAAATACCTGGGTATTTTATTTACTAAGACTTTGAATTTAGGAAAATTTAGCTGTAAGGGCCAAAAAAAGCAAAGGTCATGTTACTTACCACTGTATCTAAATTAGAACCTGTTCCACGTAGAGTTTATTTTAAACTATTTGATGCCCAAATACAGTCTATCCTCATACACGGCTCAGAACTTTTGGGTTTTAAAAATTATGAACCAATAGAGAAAATACATTTATATGCATGTAAAAAGGTTTTGAAGACAGGAATAAACACTCCAAACTGTATGGTTTATGGCGAATGTGGAAGATATCCGATGTACATTAATGCATATATTCGTAGTTTAAAATATTGGTTTAAACTTTTAGAAATGCACGAAGACCGCCTGTCTAGAAAAGCATACGAAATGCTACTTAACTTGGACAACCATGGGTACACAACATGGGCATCAAATATTAGTTACATGCTATTGTATCACGGTTTGTATCAAGGTGTCGGTAGTACACATGATTTCTTAAGATTATTTCAGAGAACGTCACCAGATATGTTTCAGCAGGATTGGAGATCGACACTTGAAAACAGTTCAAGATATGTAATAAATAGATGTTTTAAATCGTTAATTGAACCCGAATTGTATTTAAATGTTCTAACATACAAATCTCTACGCATAACATATTCAAGATTTCGTCTCGGATTGTCTGCAATAATGGTTAACATTGGACGACATCGTTCTATACCGAAGCCAATGAGATTGTGTCCTTTCTTTCAAACTAGTATAGAGGATGAACTTCATATACTGCTTGTTTGTACTGTTTATACTGATTTAAGAGATGCATATATTCCACAGAAATACCTGTGTACAACAATTTTGTATTCATGTAAATTGTATTGAATTCTACTGACAGAAAAACAATTCTGAGGTTAGCACATTTTGTTCATCTTACACTTACTCGGCGCAAGAACCTGATAGTATCGTCACTTCGTAAAATAATTGTGTACATTCACTTTGTAACATTGTCTCCACATATGTATTGTATGCAGCAGTTGTACTCGCGGATATTATCTCTTTGTACTCTTGTTTTGTTTATGGGTCGGAGGCCTTAAATACAATAAAACCTCTTGAACCTGAACTTGAATTAAACCATATATTATGGCAGCTAATATTGATCTTTCTACTCTCTCACCTTCCCCGCCATTGTCTACACCTCCGTGGCATCAAGACCTAACACTTACTACCGTAAAAAGCTGACACAAACCAACTGGTCTATCAACAAGATGCCAAACTCAAATCAACATTTTATTCCAATGGCTCTATTTTGATCTAAACTGGTATCTTCGAGAATACCAGGTAACAGTTCAATTAATACAGCTGAGGCCAATACTATTCTTATAGCATAAGGCTACATTCAAAATCAATCATCTCAACTGTTCATAATTCCTTGTCATGCATTCGGGCAATACATAATTGTTCTTCCGACCATCCGCTGATTCTTGATATTTTAGAATTGAATAATGTTCTTGCCACTGCCCAATACGACATCTTCTTTTGCTGGTTGCCCAGTCATGTTGGAATCGCTGGTAACATTATGGCTGATACTGCTGCAAAGGCAGCACTCATCAAATAAGTAACTCTACTTCTCTTACCATAGAGTGATTGTAAGCCAATACTTAGATGCTACATCAAAGATCTAATCCAAAAGAAGTGGAACACTCAAGTAGGCATAAACAGATTTCATGCCATAAAACCAACCCTAGGTTATACCTACTTGGGTGCCTATTCGAGACACGATGGAGTTGTATTGCGACGATGTCGTATTGGCCATAGTTGATATACCCTTGAGTGAATATCTATTAAAACGTGAAGATCCTCCATTCTGTGTCCCTTTTTTCTCTCACAAAGGGATTACCATTAGGAACTTTTTGATAATATCATTGCTCATTTAAATCTCGTTTTTTTGAAAGAAATATAATTATTTGATAAATGGTAAATTGTTTTTGAATAGTGGGATATCATTATCAACTGAGATTAATGGTATTTATTAATTCATATTTTCCTGATATCATAACTGTTTGCTAAAATTACATTATAAAGGGGACCACCTCTGCGGCATGGTATCTCCGTGAGCTAGCACTGTAAATCGGCATGAGTCCGGACTAGTACAAGCAGCCACACAAACGCACACACGTACATGCATATCGCTATATAAGTGCAATATTCTTGGACGCGACGTTAGAGCCCATTTCACCACACCTCACATTATAAATGTTCTTTTTATTTATGATATATATTTCATGATCTATTTTATATTCAACAAGCATGAAATACTCACATCCCCCGCCAATATGACATGTCGGGTGTGTGCAATGCATTAGCTCCTGTGAACCAAGTTCACTGGGCCTTTTTGTAAAGAAATATAGTACGTTTTTCAAGATCTGCTCCGGAAACGAGGACTACTGCCATTTTCAGTCTAAATCAAAGTCGTTGCCATGGAAACTCGAAAAATAACTTTTAAAAAAATTCACAAACTATCAAAAGGCACCAGTTCACCACTAGACCTATCAATGTTCAAAATATGGTGAAGAAATATGGTAGGGTTTTCAAGATCTGCTCCAGAAACGAGGACTACCGCCATCTTCAGTCTAAATCAAAGTCGTTGCCATGAAAACTCAAAAAAAATTTTTTTTTAAGTCCCAAACTATCAAAATGCACCAGTTCACCACTAGATCTATCTATGTGCCAAGTTTGTTGAAGAAATATGGTACAGTTTTCAAGATCTGCTCCAGAAACGAGGACTACCGCCATTTTTCAGTCGAAATCAAAGTCGTTGCCATGGAAACTCGAAAAATATTGTTTTTAAAAATTCCGAAACTATCAAAAGGCACAAGTTCACCACTAGATCTATCTATGTGCCAAGTTTTTTGAAGAAATATGGTACGGTTTTCAAGATCTGCTCCAGAAACGAGGACTACCGCCATTTTTCAGTCGAAATCAAAGTCGTTGCCATGGAAACTCGAAAAATATTGTTTTTTAAAATTCCCAAATTATCAAAAGGCACAAGTTCACCACTAGATATATCTATGTGCCAAGTTTGGTGAAGAAATATGGTGTGGTTTTCAAGATCGGCTCCGGAAACGAGGACTACTGCCATTTTCAGACTAAATCAAAGTCGTTGCTATGGAAACTCGAAAAATAACTTTTAAAAAAATCCCAAACTATCAAAAGGCACAGGTTCACCACTAGACCTATCAATGTGCAAATATGGTGAAGAAATATGGTAGGGTTTTCAAGATCGGCTCCAGAAACGAGGACTGCCGCCATTTTCAGTCTAAATCAAAGACATTGCCATGGAAACTCGAAAAACAATTTTTTTTTAAATCCCAAACTATCAAAAGGCACAGGTTCACCACAAGATATATCTATGTGCCAATTTTGGTGAAGAAATATGGTGTGGTTTTCAAGATCTGCTCCGGAAACGAGGACTACCGCCATTTTCAGTCTAAATCAAAGTCGTTGCTATGGAAACTCGAAAAATATTGTTTTTAAAAATTCCCAAACTATCAAAAGGCACAAGTTCACAACTAGATATTATGTGCCAAGTTTGGTGAAAAAATATGGTAGGCCTAGGGTTTTCAAGATCTGCTCCGGAAACGAGGACTACCGCCATTTTCAGTCTAAATCAAAGTCGTTGCCATGGAAACTCGAAAAACAATTTTTTTTTAAATCCCAAACTATCAAAAGGCACAAGTTTACCACTAGATATATCTATGTGCCAAGTTTGGTGAAGAAATATGGTGTGGTTTTCAAGATCTGCTCCGGAAACGAGGACCACCGCCATTTTCAGTTTAAATCAAAGTCGTTGCCATGGAAACTCAAAAAACAATTTTTTTTAAAATCCCAAACTATCAAAATGCACCAGTTCACCACTAAATCTATCTATGTGCCAAGTTTGGTGAAGAAATATGGTGTGGTTTTCAAGATCTGCTCCGGAAAATGAGGACTACCGCCATCTTCAGTCTAAATCAAAGTCGTTGCCATGGAAACTCGAAAAATATTGTTTTTTAAAAATCCCAAACTTTCAAAGGGCATCAGTTCACTACTAGATCTATCTATGTGCCAAGTTTGGTGAAGAAGTAAGGTACGGTTTTCAAGATCTGCTCCGGAAACGAAATGTGACAGACGGCTGGACGGCACCAATTCCTATATCCCCTTCCACTTCGTGGCGGGGGATAAAAAGCCAGTGGAATTTACATCATTGCCAGAACTTCTCCAGTGCAGAAATACGTGTTTCCGTGAACTACATTTTAGCAACAGAATGGGAAATGTGATTGTTCCATTGACTCTGTGACATTGTGTCTTTGGCAACCGATGCTTGTCGTGTGATGCAACTGAAGGGGTCGCGTGATCAGGCGTGTTGACTTGGTTGGTTGGTCACGTTGTCAATCACTGTTTTTTTCAGACTGGATTATGTTCACACCTCGGTCATATAGCTGAAATATTGCTGAGTGAGGCAATGAAAACAACAAACAAAACAAATTATTGCATTCCTTATAGATCTATTTCATCTCTTCTGTTCAAACAGGGCAAGCCAAACTGACACTGGTACACGCAACACTGTATCTGAGCAGGCGGACGCCGCGAAGTACCAGGTATTACATCGCTATTGGGAAATCACAGAAGTTGAAGCAGGATTGGGCGACGAGATACGGAATCAGAACTACGGAAATTCAAGTGATGCCAATGATGCTGCAATTTTTGTTTGAGCGGATTACTTTCCGGGAGCCAAAGATGAAGGCACTGAAGCCGGAGATGAAGGCACTGAAGCCAGAGATGAAGGCACTGACGCCGGAGATGAAGGCACTGACGCCGGAGATAAAGTTCAGAATGACACTGGTCAGTTTGATGAAGAAAGATGGTACTGTTTTCAAGATCTTCTCCGGAAACGAGGACTACCGCCATTTTCAGTCTAAATCAAAGTCGTTGCCATGGAAACTCGAAAAACAATTTTTTTTTAAATCCCAAACGATCAAAATGCACCAGTTCACCACTAAATCTATCTATGTGCCAAGTTTGGTGAAGAAATATGGTGTGGTTTTCAAGATCTGCTCCGGAAACGAGGACTACCGCCATTTTCAGTCTAAATCAAAGTCGTTGCCATGGAAACTCGAAAAATATTGGTTTTTTTTAAATCCCAAACTTTCAAAAGGCATCAGTTCACTACTAGATCTATCTATGTGCCAAGTTTGGTGAAGAAATAAGGTACGGTTTTCAAGATCTGCTCCGGAAACGAAATGTGACGGACGGCTGGACGGCACCAATTCCTATATCCCCTTCCACTTCGTGGCGGGGGATAAAAAGCCAGTGGAATTTACATCATTGCCAGAACTTCTCCAGTGCAGAAATACGTGTTTCCGTGAACTACATTTTAGCAACAGAATGGGAAATGTGATTGTTCCATTGACTCTGTGACATTGTGTCTTTGGCAACCGATGCTTGTCGTGTGATGCAACTGAAGGGGTCGCGTGATCAGGCGTGTTGACTTGGTTGGTTGGTCACGTTGTCAATCACTGTTTTTTTCAGACTGGATTATGTTCACACCTCGGTCATATAGCTGAAATATTGCTGAGTGAGGCAATGAAAACAACAAACAAAACAAATTATTGCATTCCTTATAGATCTATTTCATCTCTTCTGTTCAAACAGGGCAAGCCAAACTGACACTGGTACACGCAACACTGTATCTGAGCAGGCGGACGCCGCGAAGTACCAGGTATTACATCGCTATTGGGAAATCACAGAAGTTGAAGCAGGATTGGGCGACGAGATACGGAATCAGAACTACGGAAATTCAAGTGATGCCAATGATGCTGCAATGTTTGTTTTAGCGGATTACTTTCCGGGAGCCAAAGATGAAGGCACTGAAGCCGGAGATGAAGGCACTGAAGCCAGAGATGAAGGCACTGACGCCGGAGATAAAGGTACTGAAGCCAGAGATGAAGGCACTGATGCCGGAGATGAAGGCACTGAAGCCGGAGAGGAAGGCACTGACACCGGAGATGAAGGCACTGACGCCAGGGATGCAGACATTGTAGTTGGACATAGTGATACTGAAGCTGGCGATGGTACATCTGACAGTTCTGGGACAGATAACCATTCCTACACACACTTCGGAGCTGTTCCTAGAACAGTCATGACATATATATCACCACTTGAGGACTAACATTCATCCATCTGTCAATTAGATATGTAAATAATCGAATCTCGACGAGACAGCCTGTTATTGTTATAACGCGCCGCGTCCCACGCAGATTGTTTCTTTGTTGTTTAATGCCGCATTCAGCAATATAACATCACCATGACGGCAGCCTGTAAATAATCGAATCTCGACCAGACAGCCTGTTATTGTTATAACGCGCCACGTCCCACGCAGATTGTTTCTTTGTTGTTTAATGCCGCACTTAGCAATATAACAGCACCATGACGGCGGCCTGTAAATAATCGAATCTCGACGAGACAGCCTGTTATTGTTATAACGCGCCGCGTCCCACGCAGATTGTTTCTTTGTTGTTTAATGCCGCATTCAACAATATAACAGCACCATGACGGCGGCCTGTAAATAATCGAATCTCGACCAGACAGCCTGTTATTGTTATAACGCGCCACGTCCCACGCAGATTGTTTCTTTGTTGTTTAATGCCGCATTCAACAATATATCAGCACCATGACGGCGGCCTGTAAATAATCGAATCTCGACCAGATAGCCTGTTTTTGTTATAACGCGCCACGTCCCACGCAGATTGTTTCTTTGTTGTTTAATGCCGCATTCAGCAATATAACAGCACCATGACGGCGGCCTGTAAATAATCGAATCTCGACCAGATAGCCTGTTTTTGTTATAACGCGCCACGTCCCACGCAGATTGTTTCTTTGTTGTTTAATGCCGCACTTAGCAATATAACAGCACCATGACGGCGGCCTGTAAATAATCGAATCTCGACCAGATAGCCTGTTTTTGTTATAACGCGCCACGTCCCACGCAGATTGTTTCTTTGTTGTTTAATGCCGCACTCAGCAATATAACAGCACCATGACGGCAGCCTGTAAATAATCGAATCTCGACCAGACAGCCTGTTATTATTATAACGCGCCACGTCCCACGCATATTATTTATTTGTTGTTTAACACTGCATTCAAGAAAAAAAACAGCTCTAGAGCTTGAAGTAAAGGATACTCATGATTTACATTGTTTAAAAGAAGGCTGCAATGTAGTAATTACATGTTCATCTGTTGTTTGTCAGGTGGTACAGAATAACAGGACATGATACACGATTAAATAGTTCCACCCAAAATGTTGTACATATTTTGTATGTTTACACAGCAAAAACATGTTTCCGCATTTAAAGTAAGAACTCTGTTATTAACTTGTGTCTTTTCTTTTGTGTTGATTGCACTTGACATTGGTAACATTGAAGTGTTTATGGGAATATGTAAGCAGCCAGTGAAAGATATATTTGCACACAACTGGTACGAAACTGTTTTATCTTCGCATTATCATAGCAATTACAGCAAACTAAAGACACATCTTCATCAGGCAATGTGTTTATCCGTCTTACCAGACAAGTCATTAATAAGATCGTTTTGTAAATTTAGAATCTCATTACATAATTTGAATGTAAATATGTGTCGTAAATCGAAAGATATTGACGTTGTTAATACTGTTTGTACCAATTGTGACAGAGGGGAAATTGGAGATGAATTCCATGTCTTATTTAAGTGTAACAAGTATTCCAAGTTGAGATATACACATCTCCCCTTCTTGAATTATGACTATAAATCTGAAATGTTAATTAAAAATATAATCAACTCACAAAATAAACGTTATCTTTTAGTTGCTACTTATATATAGCATGTTTTTACTGTCAGATTCAAGATGTAAGTTGTGTATATGCACGTGACATCATATATGAGTTAGTATCAATTGTACTTTAGGCCATATGGCCATAATACTGAATAAACCTTTCTGTCTGTCTTCATGAGTTGTATTCACAAAAGAATCTAAACCCATTCGGCACAAATCTTAGTAATGAAGAAATCATAAAAATCTATCAGGAGAGTGATTCGAATGATTTCTCTAATTTAACATTTTTATGGTTGAAACATAAGTTCTCTTTAATTTTGCATAAGTGTTTGTTGTGACAGTGACACTGCAGTTGCGTCAGTTGTACTTGTTTAAAATGGCCTAGAATCGTCTGGTGACACGCGGTCTTGTGTACAGGGAATAGGTCACAAATCAACGAAAATCAGCAACGTTGGAGAGAAACTTGGTTACTCCTGATAGTTTGAAGAGCTTCGGTCCTGCTCTACATTGAACACCAACACATGTTCGAAATATGCCTATGTTCACCCAGCAGTGAGTGGGTACCCGGTAGGCCGACTCCCAGGCAGCTCATGAGCACACTGATCCATGATAGTGTAGTGCTTTGAGCATGCCCCTATGTAGTGTGTAAACGTAATATAAATTATTATCATAATCAATCAACTGCAAGAACAGCAGTAAGGCGTCATCAAAATGGTTAAATTTTAATTATTTCTGAACATTTCAATTTTTTTTATTTCAAGTAAAAATACAAAAGGGTACAATTTCTGGATTCCTCTGGATGCCTAAGATAGGAATGTATGATTTGAGAGGCTATGTAATTGTAGTTATAATACACGTACTGAAATCGATGATCCTGGATGTCTCCATGATTTGAAATATTTTCAATAGATGTTCCTCAATCTGCTGACTCCTTCGCCATCCAGGCTGACATGACCTCATTAACCGTATAGCACGTGGGGCCTGGATAAGCAGAACACTATCATCCGAGCTGACATGTTCCCATGAGGTAACCACTATAAGCACTACCCTCAACCCGGTTGTAAGTTCTTCAGATAATTGTGAGTGTGAGATTGAGAAAGATTATCTAAGATCACACTTCTGGCACATACATAACATCTTGTACAGAACATTCACACACACCCCTCCCGGGTATCTAAGACCGGGTTTCTAAATTACATGATAGTGATTCAAAAACACATGCTTTTGATACAATCGTCAAATGGAATCTGGTTAAGTACCCCTTTCCGATCAAACATCCTTTACAATAACTAGCGTTGGGGTCAGGTTTAACTGTAATATTACTGAGTGTGGAGTTAAGCAACAAACAGTTGAGGTTGGAAGCTGTGCATAACAATAACTGGATTGTCTGGTCTAAATTAAATTATTTACAGGCCGCCGTCAAATAGTTTTACACATGCTGTGTGATTCATACACACATGGCCTGACACAGTTGAGTGAGTGAGTGAGTGAGTTAAAATTTAACGTCACATCGGCAATATTTTAGCCATATAGTGACGAGTACATTAATAGTTAATACAGTTAGACGAATAAAAACCTGTCATCGACGGACAATATAAATAACTAGACTATCACAGTTTAGAAGTAAAACAAGTTGCTTGAACAATTAAAAGTATAACCTAAGATTCAACAATACATTATAAAAACGGGCTATAGATCACCAGCAACCAAAGTTAGGTCACCATACTAGGGACCGTGGGGACTAACGATACCTCTGCTACCTAAACGGTCTGACACAGTTGAAATCCTACAATCAAGATATCTTGAGACTACGGACGTGGTTTTGTTATTTTTATCTTTACAACCAATTGACCTGTGAAAAATATAACGATCAGTGCTGACTGAAAATACATGTACCATGTATATACATGACTTGTAGAATTGGCAGATGTACACGTGCTGACCTTTTTAGAAACGAATTATCAATCTGCACGTCCCAAGTAGAGTCCCAAGGACACTGCATTAAAGTGATCTCTTAAATTGTGAGTCTGTCATAATTCACTTAGATACTGAGCTGTGTATCAATACATGGTTGTTGAATAGGAAATGTATTTATGGCAGGAGAATGCTGTGCGGCGTCAGGCAACAAGCCAACACGGTAAGACATGCCGCATTTACCCTTTTCGCGAACACCTGGTGTCAGCTCTGATTTCAGGTACAATGGACAATGACAAATGAAACGTGTTTTTTTCTTTTAAATGGATCCAGTACATATTGACATACAGGTAACATGTTGATTGACATGTCGAAATATTCTGCTTCACTTATCACTTGAAAATATATTATAATAACGAGTTTCTTTCTTATACCCCATTACATAATATCACAAACATATGTGAACCGTATTCAGTCTATAACAAAACATCATTCACAAAAAGTAAAATGTTTTATGACTGTCGTGAATGGGTTGTTATCGGCGTAGCGTATATTTATGAATTTGTTGACAGACGCTTTTGAAAAACATTCCATATCTGTTTGTAATGTACCCAATAGCAAATTTGGATTATGCGATCTCAAAAGCACAATGACTGAATGAACCGGGCGACGCTACACTGATCGGGTGTCAATGCTTCAGATGAAAACAAATTGGATTTTGAATTGGGAATATTACTCTTTGATGACCAATGATGTCACGTTCTACAGATATCAAAGTATTTTCAAGCAAATTTGGTTCCTTTGTTAAATGGATTGCCACTTCAGAACTACACCTAGCCCTCTCGTCTCTGCTCACTATTGAATACAAAATGTAAATAAATTGAATAGTAATTCTTTCGAAGCAATAGTCACTTGAACAAGAATTGACATGAACATATCACGTGTGCACTAGTGCACACGCTACAGGTAATACCCCATGAAAACACTTTCAACGAAATATTACTGCGCGAGGTGCATGCAGTATTGATAGTTTGAATTACATCGAGTTTCGCAAACATCTGCTGTCGTCACTGTGAGTACAGCCACGTTTATATATTTTATCATTATTATTTCCCTTGATTTTGTATAACTTCAGTTCCCTTTCTGTCTTGAAGTGGAAATTTAGCATGCTGCAGTACGTACACACTATATAAGAGTGTTGTACACTCCTAATTCACAAATTAAGGTTCCCATCTTAAACCACAAAACCCATACAGTTCGGTATCACTCTAAGCGGCAGAGTAATTAAAACAACAAATGAATTATATGTTTGCTGGAGGTTTTTGTTTTATTTTATATTTTATATATTCCCGTCCGAGCATGCGTGTATACATGATGGGTTGACTATGTGCGGAAAAAGTTCCTGTTCTTGGTATTCATACAATTACTCTCTGTTATTGCGTTTTACCTGTATATAATACATAAGATTAATATATCCAGCCTTCAGATTCAAATTAACTTATTATTATTTCTATCACCTTCAAGTCTGTGCAATATACAAACTATGGTTTTTAGCTCTCTGCTGCAGTACTGGATTCTTAAAGGTCGTGTCGTTTAGATGTCACCACATGTACACACAGTTCACTGTAAAGGTCGTGTCCATTAGACGTCACCACATGTACACACAGTTCACTGTAAAGGTCGTGTCCATTAGATGTCACCACATGTACACAGTTCACTGTAAAGGTCGTGTCCATGAGACATCACCACATGTACACACAGTTCACTGTAAAGGTCGTGTCCATTAGATGTCACCACATGTACACAGTTCACTGTAAAGGTCGTGTCCATGAGACGTCACCACATGTACACACAGTTCACTGTAAAGGTCGTGTCGTTTAGATGTCACCACATGTACACACAGTTCACTGTAAAGGTCGTGTCCATTAGACGTCACCACATGTACACACAGTTCACTGTAAAGGTCGTGTCCATCAGACGTCACCACATGTACACACAGTTCACTGTAAAGCGCGTTTGGCATTATCTGTTCAGTCGCAAAACAAACAGAGGCTTTGCGCGTGCGACCAATGAAACCATCTCATATTTCATGCATATTTAGATCTACGCTTAAACATTCTGAAGGAAAAAACACTCTCCACAAGACTGTGTGTCGAAAAAAGGCCTCTCTAGAGCCTTCGAAAAGTGTTATTGTAGGCATGTGGAGGACATTTCCAATTTTGACGCATTTGTGACAAAGATTTTGGCCGATGCAATTTCCTATATTGACTTGTACCATATGTTACCGGTTTGTTTATGATGAACCGTTTACTTGCCTTTGCATGTGTTTGTGACGGGTTCCACTGTTGGAACAGACTACGCTCACCTGTTCTCGAACACCTAATATCATCACTATTTGGTAGTGATTCAGAAACATTCAGATATTCCTCAAATTACATTGGTTAAACAGAGGTGAGATAGCTAACTCATACACTCACTGACAACCAACCCTGCTGATCGTAAAGAAGTACATTGCCCAGTCAGCAACTCACATATTCCTACAATTATGTGACGGAGGTCTGGATAAATTGAAGTCAGGACTAGACAAGCCTTTGATTATTATCATTATTATTATTATTATTATTATTATTATTATGCGCAAAGCAAAGTCCCCCGTAGTTTAACGCTGCACACATCGTTAGTACAGCTATTTGACGGCGGTCTGTAAATAGTTGAGTTTAGACCAGACAATCCAGTTATTGTTATCATGCGCATTAATTTATTATTCGTTGTTTAATGCTGCCCTCAGCAAAATTTCACTTAAACCTAACCCCAACGCTTGGGATCGTAACGGATGTTTGATCGGAAAGTGATACTTAACCAGGTTCAATTGTACGATTATATCAAAAGACCCACCAAAAGATCCTTACAGAGCCACCCACAAATCAACTGATTGTGTCTGACAAACACCTTCCAAAGTCTGCAGCTCAGACTGTGACACATTGAACATACTACCGCTCGTCAGTCCCCTTAGGCATATAATAGTAGAGGACGTAACAACTGCCTTAAAGCAAGCGTAGAGAGAGCTTACGTTTTGCTGTGAACAATGAAAATCAACAATGCTAGTGGCTCAGAGCGATTTGACGCTTGGTTCTTGTCAATATCAAGAATGACCCTGTATCTACGTGCAGTGAATACTATCATGGTCTACGTGCAAAGCTTCGGGTCAGTTGGGGCGTCAGGTTTTGGTCCCGAAACCGTTCTCTGGTAGTCATTTTTCAAAGCTGATCTTTCTTCTGACTACCAACACATTCCGCCTTTATGATACGTATATAAAACAGTTTTTAACCCAACGACCGTTTGGGGCTATTAAATAATGACCAGTGTATATGGACATTAATGTGCACTTAAGAAGCAAATCGCTTTGCTATACCATCTACTGAATGTTGCTTAACCATATTCTTTATACAAACATTTCACATTCAGACGTTGGTCTTGCCAGCTTTATATAAAATCCGGACAGCGTAGTAAGTAAGCGTATCATCTGATTCGTGAGAGGTGTTCACTGCTCTGGTGACACTGGTTGTAGATTTCCTTCTCGGTCATATTCACAGCTCCTCTTCGACGAGCCAACTGAAACTCCAATATGACGTGTGAAGTGCTTAATGAGGAATATTAGCAATACTGGAACCCAATTATGTTGTATCATTATGAGCGTACGGATTTGTACTGTAAGTGAGTGAGTATTTCAGCCATAAAGTGACGAGAACAGTTACATAGAAATGACCTGCTACAAAAGACAGTAACGTGTCAACAATATGTCACAAAGAGTAGATTTAATACTAATCATTTCAAATACTAAAAGTTTCCAATCATCATGTTATGTGTTATACTATTAAACTAGGTTATAGACAACCAGCAACCAAACCTAGCCCACCTTGCCTTGCCGTGGACAATTGGGACTTATAGTTCCTCTGCTTCCACCATTTATCCCCAGCAGATTATAAGCCATCACTCAAGCCACCTGTAGTTGTAAACAAAATTAGTCATAAAATAGAACTTTGTCCAATATGAATACGTAAAAAATCTAGTTTTGTGTACTCTAATTTGATGCTATTAGGACTAACATATCAACAATGGGGGACACTAATTTTACCATACTTCAAAACCATTAAACAGCACAGACTTATTAATATAAGTTATCAGTTACATTAAAATGAGTTGAAACGCATTTAAAAACCCGCTAAATTCCTTTAGAAACCTATAATTACATTGGAAGCGACGTTCATAATAAGAATCTGTAACTTTGAAAATTAAGTGTATCCCTTGTGAGAGATGGGTCTATACAGTCATGGGACATGTGCTTGTCTGTGATTCTTACAAGGGACACAGAACGGAAGATCCTTATCTATAAAAAAATAGTCATGGGTATAACGACTGTTGCCATCACAAAACGACTTCAATATGTCTTGACTGGCAACCGATGGGAGGTATAACCTGGAGTTGGGTTTATCTCATGAAGTTTTTCTAAAGGTAACTCTGTGTTTCGACTTTGTTTGCATAACATGTCCTATTTAACCTTGGACAGGTGTACGGGAATTAACCTTCGGGACATAGTTTTCCCAAGAATGAATTTTATCTTGAGAGAAAGAACATCAAAATTGGCACTACTTTATATTATATTTACATTATGTACAGTAGGATGTTGGCAGGAGTTATTTCTCTGCTTTCTACATACATTTTCCAGCCTGTTTGCAATCACTATCCCACAATGACTTATGAATATCTCTGGATTTGCTGAGGATATAGGAAAGGTATCGTCAGTGATATCATTTAGTTCATGTGAAAATAACTGAATTGAGTTAGCAATTGAGTATTTTGCTCGTCGGTTTTATCTAATGGTGTTATGTTTGGACAATAGGCAGATAAATTGGACACTTATATTCTCTAATCTCATCAAATAGGAAGCAGATAATGTAAACATTTTCAGGGCAAAGCTTATCTGACTCAATACTTGGAGTTGCCTTCTCTTGCTACCACCACAGTAGAGGATCATAATCCAATTGTGCCTCTAGCGATGGAAGTCTAAATTCGAGGAAGCTGACCTTCCTCTCGCTCAAGACTTCCAGTTGAGCATCTTTGAACGGCTCCAAGTGTATTATTCAGTGGAATTGCAGGGGACCAAAGAATAATTTTGATGCTTTACAATTTTAGCCATCAGCATTTTGTTTACAGGAAACATATTTTAAAAGATAATGATCAAATCAATTCGACACAACACAATTCATACACAGTGTTTGTGAGACAGGTTGTTATATGTAGCCCCGTTCCACTTAACAAATCAAGCTGTTGCAGTACCTTTAAACATAGCGTTCCCATTGCAGTTGCTTTATGTACCTCCATCTACTACTCTTCAACAAACTGGTCTTCGGGCACCCAAGCCCTGTATCATAATGGACCACCTCCGTGGTCTTGTGGTAGAGCGTCGTCCCGGAGAGGTCCAGAGTTCGATCCCCGGCCTTGTCATACCAAAAGAGGCAACACATCCCTCATGAAAACATGTTTATATCATCACAGTAGATAACGGCAAATACAACATACAGAGTTCTTATTTTTTTCAGATAAACTCAGCGAAGAATTTCGAGATGCTGAATTACAGCCTGCTTGTCATAATCTTTGGTGAGTTGTCCATATGTATGTGTATACATACATTCATCACCAAGTCTTGTTAGTTATGTTTCTGATTGGATGACGATACAGGAAATTCTGTTTGTGGAATATGACTCCAGGCAGTATAATATGTATCAACCAATTTTGAGTTTTTTTCACATTTGGTTCTTCCAATGCGAAACTAAGTAATATTCCAACTATATGACAAATATACTCAACAACAAAAATTCCTGTGACACCAATATTTTAGTGTATTTTTCAAACAAGTAAAGTTTGGTTTTCAATACTGTAGTACATGTAGTCACGAAAACGAAACTGCTACAGATAAGGATGCATGCCATGCAAAAGTTTACATATGTGCAAGCCCCATGCATTTTACATTGGGTATAAAAACATGTGCGTTAACGGGATGCCATATGCATTGTTTTGCATCGAGCTGACAACAACCACTCAGAAAAACAACAAAATTTCGCAATTATTCAACATTACGAAATGCTACGCCTGTCCGAAAATGAGCATCTGCGAGCCATTGGTATGACTGAAGCAGGATCGAGTCAATGTGATGTTGCAAGACAATTTAACGTCCACAGAAACACCATTTGGTGTTTATGGCAACGTTGACAACAGACGAATGCAGTCAGAGACCATCCTCGGGTTGGCAGGCCACGCATAACAAATAATCAACAAGACAACTGGAATCGAACAACACACCTACGAAATCGATTCCAGCCAGCAACAGTGACTGTAAGAAGCATTCCTGGCCTTCGACGAATATCTTCACAAACCGTACGTCGCCGCCTCAGGTGTGCAGGGATTGTCACCAGAAGACCCGCCAGACGTCCCATTTTGACAGAAAATACCGTCAAGCACGTCTGCAGTGGTGCAGACAGCGTCTACGCTGGACGGCCATGCAGTGGGAACAAGTTTTACTCACTGACGAGTCTCGTTTTCACCTCAGCCACAGCGATGGACGGATTCGAGAGTACCGACGTCGAGGTGAACGTTACGTCAATCATTGTGTCATGGAAGAAGATCGGTTCGGGGGCGGAAGCGTTATGGTGTAGGGTGGGATTACAGCAAGAGAAAGGACTCTTTTAATAGTGGTAGAGGGAAGTATCAGTGGTCAGCGCTACCACGACGAGATCATGGTCCCTGTTTTTCTACCGTTTTCGCGTCGTCATGGCCCAGACATTACCTTTCAACATGACAACGCCCGGCCTCATATTGCTCGACTTGTTCGGGATTCTCTTCAACAAAACAACGTGAATGTCATCACCTGGCCGGCTCTCTCCCCTGATCTCTCACCAATCGAGCACATGTTGGATGAGATGGATCGGCGTCAACCACTTGTTCCACAGACGCTCCAGGAACTTCTAAACAGGACTTGTACGACGCCTGGTCCATTCCATGAGACGAAGATGTGTTGCTTGCATCGCAACCAGATGTTAACAGACACGCTATTGATTTGTAAATTGACCTTTTGGTATGCTTTTTATGAAGTCAGTATTGCAAAGTAAACCCTTTGAACACTTACAGGAGTCTTTTATCTGTTGCAAACCGAAATTGATGCAGATTTGGTAAAAAAACAAAACTTTGCATTAAATCTTATTCAATGTCACAAGAACTGTTGTTGTTAAGTATATTTGTATACAAGCACTTACTTGAAAGGAATATTTTAAGTGAGCTTATGCCATGATGTGCTGATGGTCTGTGATAAGGGTTCACATTTATTAATCTCCTCTAGAACCATATTAAAGCCTTAGGAAGGTGACACTTTGCATGGGAGATATGTACAATGGGGAATTTATTAAGCTGAAGGAGACCTGTTAATACACAAGACATGACAGCAATACACTGTCAATTGTTAAAAAAATATATTCAACCTGGGTCAGTGTGTTGTATCTCTGTTTTACAATAATATAAATGCACTTTGAATTGTTGACATAGTTGAGTTGGTTTTCTATTATTACATGACTTCTTTTGACAAATGTTTGATCAGCTTTGCCGAAAGATAGTTTGTGAAATATTGAGATTGTTGCTAAGGTTTGTTTTCAGCCTTGCATGCCATATAACAAACGGAGCATACCAAACAGGATACTGAGTATTATTGATTTGAGGTCTTTAACACTGACAGCCAAAAGGTCCAGCAATACATTGTGGGAGGGTGTTTGCCAGTGTTGGCCATAATGATGAATAACAATGCCAAATGTTATGCAAATGTATGTCACTTCAGCAATGATGTGTCATTTGTATTGAGGCTAACTGCATAAGAATTAGAAAGATTTCAACCATGCTTATGTAGTATTAGTTAGCCGTATTCTCGGGTCCCCAAAATTGTATATTCAATTTTATACAACTGTTCTGATGACGAAAGTTTGCTTTAAAACAAAAACCGTAGATATTAACTAGTGTCACTTCCATGAAAAATGATATCGATTTTAACTTTTTTTCAAAAGAGGAAAACTATTTTGGGTGGTGCATGTGGTAGTCATGATAAACACATGTTTTGGCCCTCTGCACAGCTGGTTATGCATACAGCCTGGATGCTGTGTTATTGGATGAGGGTATCTGTTTTGAACTGACTTCCCAAGCTGTGCTTTTTGTTTGGCTGTTTCTTCTTTGTATGATGTTTCTTTTGTACTGTGAAAGAAAAACAGGTACGCGCCTCCAACATCTGATGCTCTTTTATTGTATTCAACATACACTAGTGCAACCTGATATTGAATACTGCAACCTACTATTTATTCAGTCCATGTCAACAATTACAAATGTGTCAATGGCTTCCTAAGCAAAGTATCTACAGAACATCGATCTAAAACTCAATACACTTAATTACCATATTACGAGTAATAACTATCATCACTATCCCCAGTGTCATGTGTAATTTGTCATTGTTCTTTGGGCTGGACGTCATCAAACGGAGGGTACTTATGTGTACATATACCTGTGACGTTTTACAGAAATACGCTATAAATCTTTGCCAAAGTAGACATACTGGCTACCATCAGATGTTTGTGTTCAATCTTGTTCTTGGTGCAATTTTACTTTTTTTACACTATTCATGGCAAGCAAACTGAAGGAACCAAATCAACACTTTAAAATAATCAATCCGGGTTTAACTCGGGTTTCGGATTTTATAAGTTTTGTAGATTGAAATTTAGTGAATTGTTAAAAATGGTAACTGAGATTTGTTATTGGCCTTGCTTGTCCTTTATGAAACGGAGCATGCAAAAGGGGATGCACTGTATTATCTATTTGAGGAAACGGGGGCAGCAATTTATGATAGGAGGGTGTGAGAACCATAATGAGGAATGACATTACCAAATGCGATGAAGTATGCCAGATTGAGAGAGTTGGATTTTGACATGTATAGATTTTGAATAATATTTTGATCAAATCATTAGATTTTTGCCACTTGTTTATTTGTTTATTTTAATCATTTGAATATACATGGCTGTGTTTGTTGACTTAATATCCAGGTGAGCTACAGTGCAGTGAGGCACCTTTGTCTTGAATACAGATAGCCATGCTTTTGTACTCATAGTGTTCATATACCAAATGTAATAAACCCAAATAAAAGATCAAGAAAGCGACAACACTTTGATGACCATGATTATCTTTCAGTTTCAACAATTGCAATTCATGGAAATGATGAGGCGTGTCCCTTGGGTAAATATGGTGAAACCTGTGAGGAAACGTGCAGCCCTAACTGTGCCCCTTCTCCTACTGACAAGTCAGTCCACTGTCACAAGCTGACGGGAAAGTGTTCAGGAGGATGCAAGAGCGGCTGGCATGGTGACCGGTGTAACAGGAAGTGCAGCAAGAACTGCCTCAACGGGGTCTGTGATGTATACGATGGAACTTGCACAGCATGTAGAGCGAACTATTCAGGAGATTATTGTGAGACACACGGTACGTGGACCGAAAAATATAATTTTGTATTTTGCATTAAAGGTAACATGTACACACTTATTCATCAATCAAATACTAGTAATACATGATATATGACGCCATGGTCCATGTGAGTGATGAAAATCAGACATACTATCTAGTTCTTGTAGCGAAGGCACTTTTTGATTGTGTCTTGCACAATTTTGCACAAATATGTGACCCTATTATCCTATAAAGGGCACACATTTTAGTATCCTAGACATTTATCCATTCATTTTAGCCGAGTTAGACGTCTACAGACTGAAGTGTTGAACATAATTGCTGCTTTAAAAAACATACTATGCCCTGCTTTTGGTACAGCTACACTGCTGTCGAGAAAGCCATTATAATCCCACATTTGAGAACGCATGCAACACGCATGTGCCAAGGGTGCTCAATCGGCTGCACATGGCTGACCAACGGGAGTTTCAGGTGCATGTCAGAAATCAATCAAAAGGGATAATGAGATGTAAATCTTCAGCTTATGAGCGGCCATGGTCTTGTGTGCATCCCTTCCGGCCTGTCTTTGATTAGTGTTCGGTTGCCCGACTATGTACATGAATAGGTCCACTCAGGACCAGTCTAGCCATTGTGATGAACCGACAACAGAACAACAGTTCATTTAGATATGCGTACATTTCTACGGAACTCCCTCAGTTGCCGCGATTGTCAAGCGAGGGTTACTGAATCAAGTGGTTGTGAATTGCGGAAATTTTATTTTAACCGTTTGGCTTCATTTATCATTCCAGTTGATTGTAAGTATTACCGATGTTCGTTCACCAATTTTTATGCGTTTGATTATGGCACAATTATACGAGTGCACTCCCCATTGTTAATATCCTGTTATCCAAAGTAGGAGTATTCATATTGCTATCAATGAGGCCCACCCCCTTACCCGCGGTTGTTTATCAGAGGAAGTTGACGTTTTTTCTTCCAGTCTTCTCGTTTTCTGTGGCTTTTCATTGAAACGAACGCCTAAGGTTTACAACAAGTCGTGTCATACACCAAAGTTAGAAAGTGCAAACAGTTTAATCAGTATGATTTAATTTATTTCATTTTTAACAATACAAGGAAATGGTGAGGTGTGTCCCTTGGGTAAATATGGTGTGACCTGTGATGAAACGTGCAGCCCTAAGTGTGCCCCTGTTTCCACTAACAACTCAGTCCACTGTCACAAACTGACTGGAAGGTGTTCGGAAGGATGCACTGATGGGTGGCATGGTGAACGGTGTGACAACCGGTGCAGCAGGAACTGTCTCAACAGGATCTGTGGCGTACACGGTGGAGCTTGCACAGAATGTGAAGTGAACTATTCAGGAGATTACTGTGAGACACACAAAGGTATGTGGACCGAATAATGTAATTTTGAATTTGGCATTAAAGGTAACATGTACACACTCATTCGTCCATGAAATAATACCTGATTTATGATGTGACGTTCCAGTGAGTGTTTTCTGGAGTTAAAAAGCAAACATTTTTTTCTAGTTGCTGTATATTCGCATGATCAAAGGTTCATATTAATCATTATCTAGCATTATGGACAAATGAATTGAATTAGGATTGATTAAGCAGCCTCTTTTAAAAAAAAGGTTGCCTAGTTTCGTTGCTCTGCAGGTGGTGACTGCACATTGGGGACTTGAGGACTGTTGTCACTATAGCTGAAATATAACGTTAACCAACAAGCACAAACTAATGTTGTGGCTTTGAAGAAGTGACTTGTATTTCACTTATGCCAGAACAAATAAATGCTTAGTGTGTGGAATGCAATGTTTAAAAACCCCTAAAGGAAATTATTATTTAGAATCCTCATTTTTAGCCGAGTCGGATGTCATCAAAGTGAAATGTTGAACATAACTGTTGCTTTTATAAACCATGCTATTCCCTGCAACAGGCACAGATACACTACTGCTTACAAGTTCATTCCTCTTACAACATTGAGAACATGTGACACAGGGATGCACACACACACATTTTGTTTATTTGTTACGCTAAATAAAATCATATCTTAGGTCACCTGACTGAAAGTCGTCCATCGTCAGCGGCACTGGCATAGGGTTATCACCCAACAGTTCTAGTCCCCAGAACCACACTGCATCCCAGGACCTAACAAATAGTTAAAACGACACGACATATTTCCCTTGTAATGGACCGGCCAGGGACTGTTTATCGTACGAGGTGACGAAATGGATAGCTCAGAGACTCAGTTTGTAGCTCTTCATGTCAATCACGGGAATGTCAGACTCGATTATGTCCAGCCTTCCGTCATATAGCTGACATAAGAAAACGTATAAGTTTCTGGATAACACTTTCTGGTTTATTGCATATATCGACGTTTCGATGTAGATTCTTAAACCGTTATCAAGCTGGAGTGACAACAACCAAGAGATGAGAGGTATATATGCATGATATGTTGTGATAAACAGCAGATTAACATTGACAACAACAGGCGATCGATAACAAGTAGCACGTAGATAATTGGATGAAGCCAAATGTAGAGTAAGAATAATACATAACACACGGGTAATGAAGCACACAGGTAAAGAAGCCAGGCAAACAGTACGGATAAGGATTAAACAGTTATGACAAGCACAAAGAGCGTTGCAGCCATTAGCAGCCATGGTGGGGTGCCAGAGAGGATTGTATCGATGCCTACTTGGTGCTTAAGTAATCTGCAGATTCGATTAGATGTATTTGCTGTGTAAGGTAGGGTGATAGTAATAGGGGCGGATACTTGTCTGGTCTGATCTGGTTGGTTTGTGTTTGGGCTGGAGTGTGGTGGAGATGGTCCTCTTGACTAGCTTGGCAGGTTACTTGTTGAGATTGATGCAGACATGCTGCAGATGTTTAAGTTCATGGTCAAGCCAGATACGGATGAATTCCGAGGTGTGAATAGGGTGTTATCTTGTTGACGTCTGTCATTCACACCCAGAGATTGGCTACTTCTCGGTCTCAGCCCACACTCTGCGCCTTCGACTTTCATTAACTGTAGCTCTGTGTAGTCCTTTCAACTTCACAATTGTTTGCAGATCGAGAACCTGTTTCATACAATGCCACTAGTCTCGTTATTCGCTATTTCCGGATCGTCTGCCAGCAATTGGGGTCACGTGACACGTGAGTCATTCGCAACAAGGGATATCTAAGGTTAAAGTCCCAATGCACAGGACGTCCACTTAAATGTTGTAACACGTTCTCAAAACGTAATCTGGCATAATTTAGCATAAGTGAGAAAATGCATTATTTTACAGAAACACAGAAGTCAACTCTACTGGTTGCGATACTTGTTCCCATAATCACCTTACTCATAATCATCATCATCATCTTCATCGTTGTGTACAGAAGAAGACGCAGAAGGTATGACCATATGTCACTCAAACATTATTAGCCAAGAAAATGCCTTTCAATCATAAATGATAGGTTCTACTACTTGGGGCCATTAACCGTGGCTTTCAGTGTGTGCACATAGTTAATAATGCTTCCAAATTGTGTTAACGGGTTGAATTGGCAACATATACTATTATCTCCAACTAGTTTGGTGCTTCTAAGACATACCAGGCATGTTTGACTGGATTTAGCATGAGATTCCATTGCTGTATTATTCATAACAACTTGTGACTGCTATCTTCTGACAAAGAAAAATAAACAACAATCCTTTATTGTCAGCTGTGTCATCCTGGGCAGTGATCGCAACAACAATCAAGTCATGTGTTACAGAAAACAGATCTTACATAGTATGTATTGATGATGCCAGGATTTGTTTTAATTGGCTTCTTGCTAATGTTACTTGCCATTCTTTTTCAGATCAAATGGGCGTAAGTATAAAAGCAATATTTGAAGGATACCAGTGATCACACATCCGGAACAGAATAAAGAATTAACAAGATATGTATTCCTTTGGTTTATTGCCTTAATTTGACAATTGTTAATGAGTGAGTAAATTTGTTTCAACACAGCTATCAGTGATATCATGGGATATCATCTTGATGATAGAGGAAAGCCCAGTGATGTAGGTCGATTTGGACGTGTTACAAAAAATATATTATAGAAAGTTAGAACCCTATATTATATAATAACTTAACGAGTGGATATATTAAATTTTTTGTAACGTTCTTGATGTAGATCTGATTAAAGGCAAAAGTAACTGCAATTTGTTCAATATTGTGATTTTTTGTTAGAAACGGGTATACCAAACTCTCATCTTTTTAAGATTAAAGGCCTATTTGTATCTCTCTTTAATTTAAACTCTACCTCACTCAAGCGAAGTCGTAAGTAATCGAAGTTGGTGATGACATCAACCTCATGAGCAGCATCACCCTTCAACCCAGGCTTGATTCCACCCAAAATACGTGTCCGGGTACTCTACATATCATGCTGTTCTTCCCCTGGAATGGGGTGGTGTACTATTATCTGGTGAAACATATCCTCAAGCCTACAAGCTGTGACATGCGTATCCTCTCTTTGAGAACAACTATAAAAGTCAGATATGAGAGTAGTTATCTTCCTTTAAGGAACACTCTTCATCTTAGATTGCAGGTTGTCGATTGTAGCACCTCATCCAAGCTTCATGGCTGTAATAACTGCTTCATCCTTCAAATGTTTCTTTATTGCATGCAGTAAGACATCATATGTCTGAGACTGGAGTAAACAATCGACTTCAATTCAAATCGGCCTATAAACAAAAGGCCAAGTCTATATGTCTTCAATATTGTCATTGTTTGGTGTCGCTCCCATCCTGGTCGAGCTTCATAGTTCAGGTTAGGAGGCAAAGTGACTATACTATTGGGGAACAACGCTTACAGAGAGAGCACAAATTAGTTGTTCAAAGTGACTCACTTATGCTAAGTGCTAGTTAGTTAAAATATGAACTTTTTAAAAGGGCTTAAACTACTTTGGTAAGATGGTGTGGATGTACTGCAACATCCACATACTAAGGTTGCAGTGGGAAAATAAGCAACGAGCTTCGGGTACTTCCATTCATTCACCGGGGACAGATAATCCGTAGTTATTTGGAGTAGGTCAATTCGAGTAGGTTATTATATATGTTACTCATTGACATTTGAAGAGAGAAAGTGAAGGAAATGTTTGAAATGTCAAAATAAACTTAACTTTTCAGATGACGTCATGTAATCAGTTTCTGACGTAATGGATAATTGATGACGTCATATCGTATGTTTCTTAGCAATAAAACATTGTGACGTCATATGGCTTCTATTGACCAGTCGACATTGAGAATTGCTGCAATGCACTTGTGCAATTCTCGAAATGTTATTACACACACTCATTCTACACTTTTGAGTAATATACTGATGATATTCCATGTGCCTGGTGAAATATCATGTTCCTCTCATCGTGTGACCGAGGGAAAGGAGATATCACGAGATGACAGAAACATGATATTTCAGGACACAAATGGAATATCCTATTTATTATTTCTTTTTGTGTAGTTGTCTAACTGAAGACTAAATTACCTAACTACAAATGTAAAATTTTGAAATGTAAATTCTCACTACCTAACACGGGGGGACGTTCAACCAATCCTTGTAATTGCGAGTTAAAATGTAGAATCCGTATTGTGAAAACAACAACAAAATATCTGAGTTTTATAAAATTCTTTATCATACATTTGGATATGAATATTAATAAAATCAAGTTTAACAAAACCATTCTTGAAATCAACGAGACCGTTGTTGGAAGCGACTGAATGCACGCTGGTCAAAGTAACAAAATGGCGATTTAGAGACGAACAGTCTCGATTGACATGTTTAGTGAGAAAACTACTGCTTATAACGAAACATTTTTCAACAAAATATAAAGGGGGAAGAACCGATATTAACTCCATGAATGATCATCTGTCATTGTTTTGCCTTGTCAATGTGGAACTAACCTTAATACAAGGGGAGATAACTTTTGTAAAAAACGTGTGAACATCACTACAGAAGAATATGAAGTACCATGTTCACTGCAGTGGAAATATAACTTTTCTGAACTCAGTCTTTCACACTGAAATATATAATAACTAAGGTTAAGAAAGTCTGACCCTAATTACTAACTGCCATTAAACAAGTAAAGCAAACACTGACAACATTGTAGCAAAAGATAGCAGCGTAACTTAGTGCCTATCAGCAAACCAGGAAACTGAAAGAAAACAGTAAGCGTGGAGTTTAACCTAGAATTAAATAACTTATCTAGTGCATCTGCTGAACAGCTTGACGTGTGTCCAGGTTTGCAGGCTTGAACCAGTGAAATCAAAACCCAAAAACCTAATCGCTGGAGGCGAAGTGAACACTTAGCTAATTGACAAAATAACTGATGTCTATGTCACCTCACCAAGACAAAGCCAGTTACGGAACTTCCCCAGAGAGAGATATGCCTGTTGAGATGACCTATGATGATACCTGACTTAAGGAGTTGGTCAAATAGATTCTGTAGATCGGACTGCTGAAGATTTGAAGATGGAGAAATATACCAGGGACCAAAGTGTGAAGGTTATTTGTAAAGTGATATTTGAATGCAGAGTTGAACAATGATGATTAGAAATGTAATGACGCATTTCAAATTGATCAATTTGTTTGAGACAGGTTTCTTGGAAACTAGGTGCTGATTGTTTAATGTCTTGCGCTAATAATTGTACTTCATTAAATGTTTTCCTGAGTCCTCTGCAATTCCACTGAATTAAATGATGACAAAGCATGGGACGTGTGCAGGCTTCCAAAATGTTGACACTCATAGAATTGGAGTGCCTTGGGGACATCACCACCTTGATTTCGAAGTTCTGCAAAGTATGTTCGATAGGGGACGAGTCTGTCATGGACACTGCCACGGCAATAATGTTCTATGCTCAGAAACCGCATTTAAACTAAAGTTATCGAACAAATAAATTTTCAAAGGAAAAGCGTCAATAGTTTATCCATTCAAAGACAGACTGTGTAAATCATTTATTTATTTTTTCAAAATATTGTCTTGAAGTAGATTATCCTTTTTTCTAAGACAAAATTTCTCATTTTCAGAACCTGATGAGTCTAGTGCAATGCTTAACCCTGATAAAGGTAAGAACATTGTTGTCAGTATTTTATGTATTTTGTAGCTCATCTGACTGAAGTCACGTGAACTTATGTCATGACCTGTGTGGTCGGCGTCCGTCATGTGTCCTATATCCCAACCAAAGCAGAACATTCACATACTTGTTCCATGGCACCCTGATTCAAGAGATATGAAACCGGCAGCCACAATAAAAATGATTATTTATTTAATGAAATTGGGAATATGACTAGTGGTTTTAAATATTGACTATGATTTGACCTTTGAACGATGAGAGACAATGAAACATCTAGTGCCATTACGTGTTATTTTTGTTGAAAATGCTATGACATTTAGCATGCCTAGACTTAGGTGTGATGTTCCAGTTAAAATAGACATTGCACTTTGGCATAAATGTTTCTCCTTTAGCTGACATATTCTGCCATCATTAGATTGTATTGTTGGTACTTCCTCACATTGTATGCAGTAAATATAGATACTCAATAGCAGCCCCTACAGTAACGTTTAAACTATTAACTACAAATGTAGGCGAGCTAAATTTTTGCTTTGTTTGGTTTTGTATTATTTGACTATATTTTTTCAAAATTCATGAATAAGTGAGTGAGTTGGGTTTGACGCCACTTGTAACAGTATTACAGTTATATCATGGCGTGTCAGCTTAATGTGGGAGGATAGCCCGAAGTGATGCAGGTCTCAGACGTTAACCACTTCGCTGAAACCCACGAGCAAGGGTATGGTGCTGACAAACCTAGAAACATAATCGGGTCGAACCGAGATTCGAACCCACAATCTTAGGTTTCTGGCGTGCACAAGGGACGCAACTCTGCACAGGGAACCGCGGTGCCTTAGACGACTGGGCCACCCGTGCCCCCTCAAAATTCACGAATTACCTATCTATTAATTGTATTTGCAGAAACACAAAGGAACAAATTCCCATGCGTTTTCTGTAAGCATATGTAAATTCAAAACGTCAACGGTAGAGAAAGAGATTCCATGTGGCGTAAAATGCAGTGTTGCGGTCAAACTCATATGTATGAATCACTGAAAATCACTGTTGACACCAGGAAATGGGTAGGCATGTCCCAGCCCATCGGTCCGCAACTCACCTTAGAATCACACCGTCTTAATATGAATACCTTTCTCCATGAAGTTGGTAATTACTGCCAATCAGTCTGACCCGAAATGGCCTAGAGTGTTTGTGACATGTTTAGATTAATTGAGAACACATCCCAGCTTTTTTATTTCAATTTTAAGTATAACTGTTTGGGTTTCTAGACATTCATATTTATCTTTGAATAGGATTATCTAATAATGACTTGTAGATTCGTCAATACACTATGCTGCACGGGGTGTATATTGCAGCTCTCCTCGCAATCATACATAGACGAATTATTTCTCTGCTTTGCACAATTACATGTGTCTCACAATCAGGCCAAAAATAATTTTGTCTGTGAAAGAGAAACAACCACTGTCCATCCTGTTTCTCTACAATCAGTTATTGTTGATAAAGAAATAGCATGGGGTACATGTGTTGTGTTGAGATGATCACAATTTTTAGAAATACAATTGTTACAATTTTCGAACATATCACTGTTTCTAGCTCTTTGTTGAGTGTTATTGTTTTCAGTGATATGTATGTGGGAGCTTGCCTTTCTATATATATTTGATATCAATATTTCTTATCAATGTGACAAACATGTTCAGAGTACTTGAATAATGTCAGTGACAATCAATAGTATTGTGACAGAATAGCCAGCATAATACATAACTTCGTGACTTCCGTAATCTAATAAAGATGACCTCTTTTACCTATGTTAAATATGCGGTTCTGTTCCTGTTGTATCATGTGGGAATTCAAGCCCTTAGAGGGACACTCGTATTCTCGTTTGTCATAACATCCGACTACATGTGTCATCAGACTCAGATGCCATGCATTGTTATCTCCTCTAGCCTTGATTATCTACAGGCTGTCCTGTTATTACTGTATACGTAGTATTGCCGACTGGAACATTAAACAACATGTGTTCTCATACTCACAGTGTTTTTTGGTGTTGATGTTATTGACAGTGAACTTGAGAATTGGCTTCCACTTTGTGTGAGCTCATTGGAGTATGAACCGCATGAAAGGGGCCCATGGGGATGCCAACTGGCCAAATGTCCTATCCCAATTTTTACATAGATGTTTTCAATGCAGAAGTCCAGCATTACATGTCATCTCGTCTCATTAACTTTCATGTGTGTAGGGGCATCTATACACCCATATAGTAGGTCAACCGATATTTTATTTATTCATATGAAATTTTCATATCTCTATTTTATACCCCGAGGGATGTAGTAAAGCCAATTGTAACGTGGAATGATATAATTTAGTTCATCACACATAGATGTTACATGAGCGTATGTATGGTCCTTGCTCTACAGGAACACATTTCCTAGTTTGTTTACAACAAATACATTAAGTTATATCATTAGATGAGAATGGTCTCTTTAAAAGATTTACCCCCGTAAGTCGGTCACAGTGATAGCGCATCGTAATACATTTACATTGAATACAGGACTTTAAAATGACCGACATGTAAAACGAGACGAGAAAGAATTCCAAAGTTGTTACTGACCTTGTGACTATTACAAGTGTTACTCATCATTCCCCCATGAATTTGGAAAGTACTGGATTCTGTTTGGTCAATCACTCTACACTACCAAGATTGACAAGAAATCAGCGACACCAAGCCCTTGGACGATTGCAAGCTGGACAAACCGCCTGGCAAGTACACATAAGGACCATATACAGGCTCCAGCAACAGTACCAGACCATCAACACTACAGATGACCGACCACGAAGTGGAAGACCAAGGGCCACCACCTGCCGTCAGGATCGTCAGATTGTGTGAGAGCATCTTCAAGATTGCTTTGTTACTGCTGCGGAAACTGCTCGGCAGACCATGGGGACACACCAGCGACACGTAAGTGCGGACACCGTGCGTCGACGATTCACGAGCACACACCTCCACTGTCACAGGCCACACCGAGGACTCATGTTGCAACCACGTCTTTGCCGGGGCCACCTCCAGTGGGCAACACAGCTCCAGCATTGGCGCCACCAGCAGTGGAGAAGCGTCCTCTTCTCAGACGAGGGACGTTCTTTTATCTCAACAGCAGATGGCAGAGAGAGAGAGTATGGCGACGCCTTGGGACACGTTATTCGGATGCTTGTGTTGGTGAGAGAGACTGGTGGGGTGGTCCGAGCATCATTGTGTGGGGTGGTATTGATCTTGCACAGATGGTCGACCCTGTGGTCTTCCAGAACATCGGTCCAGGGAGAGGTAATGGTGTCACAGCAGCTCGGTACATTGATCAAGTCTTGAGACCACACGGCTTACCTCATCTGGCACGTTGCTGCAACCACGAATTTCGGCATGATAATGACCGTGCCCACACTGCGAGAGCAACAAGAGACTTTCCCTAGAAGAATGGCATTAGAACCATGCAGTGGCCTGCCCTCAGTCCCGATTTAAATCCTACTGAGCACCTGTGGGACGAGATTCAAAGACGGCTGAATGACGGCCGAGAACTGCAACTGAACTGCGTCAGGCGTTCTTCAGAGTGTTTGTTCAAGTGCCTTTGACCTTCATCAACCGCCTCATCCATTCCATGTATCGATGATGCACGGCAGTCATCAATACACATGGCGGACACACGAGATACTTACTTGTGATGCCATTTTCTCAAAGACTAGTGTTGTGTTTCACTTTAAGAATAATTGACACTTTAATTTCAACCTTGATGATCAGTTTTGCCAAGTTTTGTCTCAAAGTATGTTTACAGTGTTTGGACAAATAAGGTTTGTCCTATATCTAGCTATGGTGACGTTTCTTTTGCGGTTCAGTTACAAAATGCACAGATGCGGTAACTACAATATTCAAAGGATGTGTTGCAATACATTTGGTGCAGAAAACAAGACAGGAATCTAAAAAGAGAATGTCTTTATGTTTTGGAGACAGAGTGCTTGGAATTTGGTGCTTTTCCATAACGAATGTGACGTCATATATTTTGCTTTACAATGAGCGATATAACGTCAAAATGATGACGTGCGGTGTAGAAAGAAATCCTTGCAGAGCTTGCTTTGTTTTCTTTAGGAATGCCTATCTCATGTTAGCTTACCAAGTTGCCGTGCTTATATGCCTGTCATGTGTTCGAGGGAACTATTACAGTGTAAACAAACTGCTTGAGTATATACAGCGCCATATTTTCTTTCAGGATGTTGTTGGTGATTCCGTAAATCAGATCGTCAACTGACTCAAAACACTTCACTCAGTATATATCACCAAAGAGTTATTTAATCGTGGTAGAATGGAGATAAATATACTGTGTTCATAATGTAGAGCTGGGTTACCAGTCGATTTAACCGCGCTAAATTTAACATTTGAAACCTCATGCTGTGCGTTCGGTTCAAAATTCAATTTAGCGCGGTTAAATCTACAGGTAACCGAGCTCTTCATTGGAAACACAGTATGTTTATCTCCTAATTGATCATTGAGAGGTGATTACAAAGGTGTGTAAAATACATACATAGGTAAATTTATAGTTTTGTCGCAGGTTCAGGCTTCTAGTCGTCCCAGAAAAATATTGAAGATGGAGTTTCTTTAAAATGTATTTATTTGCCTGTAACATGAAACGTCAGCATTAGAAAAGTGTTGAGTGCTGTCAGCCAATCCTACCAGGCTGACGGGTGACAATTGACTGTGCGTTTAAATTGCCGTGACGTCACAGGTAGAAGCCAGTGAATTAGGCGTTAAGCCAGGTACGGGTAGCACGTACAACTCATTATATGTAGAAAGTGGAGGAGCGGCCTTACCATGGATAAAAGTAGAAATAAGGCTGCCCATGACATATCCCCCCCCCCCCCCAACACACTTTAGAAAATGTTGTCCCCAACATTGAAAAGGATGAACCAATGAGGAGAAGTCATTGGGAATAGGGTTGCTGGGTATTGATCCAAAGACGAGAA